TAAAAGTTATAAGGTAATTTACAGACATATGTCAAAATATAAATGAAGTCACAATCGGTATAAAAGTCACTATTGGTGTTGAGATTAAAATTGTAATAGCATATCATAAGTCTTAAGTATAAAGAAAACATCTATGGTCGAAGAAAGTCCAATAGAATTGGTTTGACCTCATATAAAAGACATAAGTTATTAAGTTCAACTATTTCATGATAAGATTTTTGTTCTATGAGATGTTGTATTGGAAGCAGTGAAATTAAGGCTTTGTCAGAATGTGTGTAATCATCAGAGGTGGGCAAAATATTGTCTAAGACTTTGTATAAAATATCAAGCCACCTAATGTTTCTCTGGAGACCAAAAAATGCAAAAGCGTGTCCGCAGTTACAATCAGGTTTCAAGATTGCATACGACTCAAACATACCAGACATTGCAAAAAGACATCCGATGGCTATTTGAGTGTGCAGTGGATATCCAATTAGTAGCATATCGTTCGTAGTGTGCTTCAATGAATCTAAAATAGCATGCAAACAATTGTATTGTAACTTGACATTGTTTATACGATTTTCCAAATAAATATCTGTCAAATCACAAACTGTTATATCTGATCTACAGTTCTTCAGTTGAGATTTAAAATACGAGGATCGAGTTTTTTTATCACTAGTTCTTTCAACGTAAGGAAATTTATCTATTATCTTATTTCTACAATCAAGTAAAGATCCATCGCAAAATTTTGATCCTCGTACTTTCGTTACCGGCTTTCCCATACAAAATTTTACCTGTGACACATCGATGTTAGATTTTTTACATCGTACAGATACATTTTTATTCCATATATTATTTTCTAAATTGCAAAATTTTGTCATGTCCTTGTACAATATTTCAGCTTCTTCTCGAAGGCTTAAGTCACGACGGCTCATCTTTTCCGCGTACGAGACGTCAAATGTCTTCTTTTTATAATTTTTGGATACGTTCTTTGACATAAGAGTTTGGTCTTCACGAATCGGTTTTAAATTGTACCTTTTGATAAACTCTTTGCATACATAACTTTGAATATCCTTCATTTCATTATAATACTCGGCCTTTAGAAACCACGACCTAATGTTTCTCTCGATAGTTCTTATTTGTAAGTTGGAAAAATAACTTGAACACTTGAATATTTCGTTAATAAAAGTTCTGGGTATTTGTCTAAGAGGAAACATTGCATTTTCGTGGTTTTCACTTTCAAAGAACGACTGAATGAAAGGCTCTGCAAATTTTCTACCTTTGTAATCTTTGCATACAATATATATTTCTGAATTCCCGGACTTACTGGTGGCTGGTTTCTGAATTTCGACAGATTCAAATAGACAACAAAGCAAATATATTCTACAAATTGTGTTACATTCGAATATCGTAAACGTTTTTAATACAAATGATCCCCTGTCTTTTAATATGTTCAAACCTACCATTACCTCGTAATTATGTAAACGCATGACAGTACATTCTTGTTCTCCTGGATCATTTTGACAATCTATACTTCCATCGGCCGTTACCAAACTTACGCCGTCTACAAATCTTTTAGAAACCGTCTCCAATAAATGTTCGTGATACTTCGGTTGAAATATGTCACCAGTATAGTCCGGGCCGAATTCCCATTTGTCTAATGTGTTCAATATTAAGCGGTCGTCAGTAATAATATCAGGTTGACCATTGGATTCATGGTACGGGTTAAGTGTCATGGCCAACCAGTCGAAATTTAAGTTACGATGATTTAGTGATATGTAATGATTCAGTGCAGAAATAAATGCTCCGGGAGCTTCACAGAGATGTACAGAGTTGAAATTAGCTTTGGATGTACGTTCTTGAGTAAGCAAAGAAGAATTGCCTAAGATCTCATAGAACTTACACCAAGCTTGAGTCAAAAAATCAGGACGTATATTTTTCTTAAGATGACCAATGACTAATCCAGCAGGATTCATTTTGGTCGTATGTGCATGCCATGTTTCGCTGTTGAAGTTGTCCAGTTTGTTCTTAACGAAATTCAGCTCTGATTTCAGTTCTTGAAACTTGTGTAATTGCCAAGAAGGCTTTGTAAACATACTACTCGAGCGCGGCATTCGCCAATTTGTACTAAGTACAAACTTTTTAGAGAACGCTATAGCTTTTTCGTTATGTTCGGTTTGAGGTGTCATTGTGTGAAAAAATACTTAAACTTTCTTCGTTCACGTCAAATCGCCTCCTGAGGAGAAAACTATTTATTTTATCTAAGCATATAAAAATTTTGTTTCCTAGAAACGGATTTCTGTATGTTTATTTATAAATAAAAATAACTATTGGCCTAAACTAAAATTAAATAATAATCCCACGATAAAATTTTATACTTTTAAATAAAATAATTATACTAATGTAAATAATCAACTTTCAGAGTAATAAAAAAAGAATATACTTATCAATTTTGAAAAATATATTATTATTTTTTTTGGTTACAAAAAATATTACAAAATACTTAAACAATGTAACATTTGATAAAAAACGTTATTTTTAAGCCAGCGTTTTTTAAATTAATATTTTACATAGTTAAATTATTACGGGGATTTTATGTTAAAAAGGAAGTACATAAAAGAGGTAATTGCACTTTTAAGTATTCATTAGGAGCTCTATATAAAATATACCAAAAAAATTATGTTTTTTATCAAATCATTTATTTAGTTTTATTAAAACTAAAGTGTTAATTTATTCTATCAATTTATGAAATGTTTATGTTAATTTCTAATTTCTAATATCCCAGAAAAAACGGTTTGTTCAAATTTTTTCTCAAAATTCAAGGATATTTTCGGTAATTTTGATATATTCTTTTTTAGTTTAATTCGATATTGTCGCATATCGAATTTTATTGCATATTTGCATTATATGCAAAATTGCATATAAATTTTGGCACAAATAACATTGCCTGACAGTTACACCCTATAATAGGAAAAAAATGTTGCTAATTCAGTAATATTAGACGATTAAATAAAAACAGTTCAATTTTAGTCTGTTGTACTATTGCATCTATCATGCAATTTTTTAATATATATGTATTGTATTTTTACTAGTTAATTGCAATTATGTTTTATGAGGTGTAATCAGGTAGACTGCCCATAATCAGTTTGGAATTAAAAATTTACAAATACACTGCAATAATATTACAAAAAGAGAGTACACGCTAATACCATTCCTGTACATTACAATTATTAAAATTCCTTTAATTTCTATAATATAACGAATTAATTACAATATAAACGCAAAGGGTAAAATTACACTATGGAAATGAAATGAAAAAGATATTTGGGACTCGCAAATTTCTAATAGAGCGTTTATATAAAATAATTTTTTTACAAAAAAATCATAGGTAAATTGTGTCTAAAATCATTATATTTATGTTATTTACATAGTTGCATTTAAATTGATAATTCATATCAATAAATCTATTGGCCAAATACCTTGAATATTTAAGTAGAAATCATTGACCTAAAAAACGTGTATTTATTTTGTTGTATCATTATTACTAGAATAAAATAAACAATTAACCGTTATTAAAAAGAAAGTAACACTGAAAAATAAACTCAAAATAAATATTTTTAATATAATCAGATAAAATATTTATAAAACTGATTAAAAACACACTGTCTAATTTTTCTAGAAAATTTGAAATGAATGATAAATAAATAACAGGATTACAATTAAGTGGAGTGAGAGATTTAGGATGTGAATAATTATATTTTGCAATTAAAATACTTTTTTTGTTTAGCGGTAATAGTAAAATATTGCTTATGTGCAAAATCTGAATTGATTTAGCTTTTTAAAAAGTAAGTATAAATACATATATATTTAAGAAACAATTTCAATCGATATAGGATTGAAAATAACAAAATTTATATTTTATCATAAAAAATTCAACATTTCTATTTGATAAATTACATTAATGATTTTGATAGATAGTTTTTTAGTAAATTTAAAATTCATTGTTTCAAAAATTACCTACTTTCATATTTTGAAATAGGAAAAATGAAAAGGGAGCCGTTTTAATGAATTATGACCTAAAAATACTCTGAGTACTTTGTCAAGTTTCTTAATTTAGAAAAAACATTTTACGAACTCTTTTATAGTTGATTTCTTAAATAATGAACTATATGAAGTTTGAACTTGATTATATGTTAGTTTTCTAAAACTTAAGTTCTTTATTATTTTTATTTTTATTAAAATTATAATTAAGTTTAATGTTATTTTGTTTTAAATATTATGAAAAAGAACTTTTAACTTATAAATAAAATTTATTAGTGTTGATGTTTAATCAATCTTCATATTTAATGTGGTATACTTAGTAATCCTGAAAGGAATAAATCAAAAACCGATAATTTTTCTAAGAGAATAAAAAACTGTTTCATTTCTATGTTAGCTGTATTATATATATATATACTATACAACTATACAGTAGTGTATAATACATTTTTATGATTTTTTTAAACAACATATTCATTAAGATAAGTAAAAAAAAAGTTAAAATATCCTTAATACGTCTAAATAAAGTATAATAACTATTTTATGTGGTCGATGACCAAATTATAAGAAAATTATTGAGTCATTCAAAAACATACAATCAACTACTCGTTATGTAATTATTTTTTATTTCGTATCTAAAAATTATTCTCCATTTATATTTCTATGTAATAAATCCTTATTAATGCCTAATTCTTAAAAATTGTTCCTTTAATACGCGTTAAATAAATTATGCTGTACGTTCAACGTTGATGGCAGTTGGAAAAATGAACCGTTTTGTAAACTATCAGCCTAATTTAAGACCTATTTACTATCTTAAACTAAGTAAATTAATTATTCTCGTAGTATGATTCACCATCTACAACGTGGTGACGTGAATCTACTCGAAATAAATTTGAATGCACTCAAGGCCCCATTTCTTAACCATTTGTTAATGGGTGCAATGGAAGGGAGAGAGCTGTATAAGCACATTTTTTAATTATTTATATGAACTGTATTCATAACCGTTCAGCGTTCAACGTGCGGTCAATATAGGAGCTGTGGTACACAAACAACCAACATCGGGTTGATTTGTTTGGCCATATGATCCCTGTAAATTACTGATTTTTCTTTTAGACTAATTAACGAAAATAATCAATTATTTATTTCCGTAAAAAGATTATGCAGTTTTACATTGTTTTATTTGTGTACGTGTATGTTTTATTATCATCTGTTATAAGTTACGATTTGGCGGATTTAACTTTAGTAGGGTTAGCCTCAAATCCAAATGTGGTACCAGAAGGATATGAAAATAATTATGAAAAGTGTTTGGCAAAAAGAAAAGTATTATTTGGAAATACTTGTTGGGACTTGTTAACTAAAGGACCTTGTCACAAAGGTAAGTGTTTTTTATTAATGTTTATCGTTTTGTATAAATAAATTGGATAATTAATAAACACAATCAGTAACATTATTTTTTCTAAAACAGTTTTACGAGCTTTTGAAAATTGTATCCTAAGAAATATTGCTTTAGGGAAAATAATAGATGGAAAACAAGCTGTTAGAATATTAAAACATGGTTTTATGATAATATAGATACATTCGTTAAATTCCATAGAAAAATTTAATTTTAATAGCCATAGTTGGTATAACAGCTATTTAACGGGACGTTAAACCTATCGATAATTTATGTTTATTAATTTATACTACGTTATCTTTTGTATAACTCCCATATATTATAAATGTATATTTTCTGTACTAAGATTGTTTACGCTGTACTTCATAAATTAATCGTTGGAAATTAATATAAAAATTAATCTTCTTTAAAATAGCTTAGTTTATTATTGATTATTTGTTGTTAAGATAAAAAATGATTACATTGTTCGGTGTTTTTTTATTAAAGATATCATACAGTGGTGTACACAGGGGTAAGATTATAAGGTTTTCTCCTAGAAACTAGTTCAGTTATAAAGTGGAAAGAGGCGTATCTCCCCACGGGTCAATTGTTAACCTCTTGTGAAAATTCTACCAAAACTAAAATTCTGCATATGCTACTGATATGAAACATATAGACACCAGAGTGGACTGTACTAGAATGTATATGTTTTTAGAGCTATTTATCTATAGTCCTTTAAACCAATATGAACAATTTGTGTATATATATTCTCCGTGTAGTTGGTTTGAAATACTGTAGTATTTTTCAAACACAATTGTTTAGATTATTAATTTAATGAGAATGATAATAAATAATCTTTGATCTTAGGTCTAATTCGTTAACATTTTATTATAAATTATTCCAAATTTAATATTACTATTGTAGTAGTATCAAGCAAATACTTAATAATATTTTTTATTAATACCTATTGGACAATTGATTGTACTTGAGGGAAAGATAAAACGATAAGCCAATATTTATTTTTAAATTAAGAAATTATGCTATAATATTAGTTTAATAAGTCCCAATAAAAAAATGTTATAATACGATTTTTTTTATAATAGATATTAGCTATATTTACAAGTGTTCTTACAACAAAATACACTCTTAATTACCTGAGTTTTTTTATAAAGTATCGATAGGATATATCGAACATTTTTTTTTAGAAGAGCAACCAAGTACATTGTTATGACTGATTACTTTTAGAAATTTGATTTAGACAACTATAGTATTAAAAAACAGTACAACCTTTGTCTAGTTTAGTGGTGACTTAGCATAGAGTTCATCAGTAAAAATTAAATTTTGGAAATAATTAACATCACTATTTAAAAATGAAAAAAAATTCTTTTTTAAGTATACTGAACAAACTTTTATTTTATGTATAGTTAAAGGATACAGATTATTAAGAATAATTTTAAAAATCAAACAAGAAAAATTGTTAAGGTTATGAAAATTTTACTTTATAAATGAAATTAAACATTTTTTACTCAGTTATTTTTACAAAAAAAAAAAAAAATATAGTATTTAAAAAAATATATTGATTTTGATGTAAAATTGTAGAAGTTTATATCAAAAAAAAAAAAAAATTAAGTATATTTCATGATATTTATTTTGAATGAGGTAAATTTTCTAATATATTTACAAAAATAAAGTTGAAAAAGTTAATTTTTTTGTACAAATATTGCTATTTTCACTCCTCCTATAAACAGGAAAGTGAATAGAAAAAAAATAACATATGTTTAATGGTAGTTGAATATCTAAGATTTTTTAAAAACATCTTTGTTCAGATATATTTATTTTTCAAAATTTATAACTTTTTTAAATCAAACGGTTAGGGCAATTCAAAATTTTTTAATTTCAGTTGTCATTTTATTCACGTTTTAGAAGCTAGTTGTTATTTATTACAAGTGTGATAAGGTTTAATGTTACAATAGATAGTTTGGTTATCAATTGAAAATCTGCTCAACTGATGTGTTTAGCAGAAATATATAGTTTTAATTTTTTTTACTCATTTAAAATGTAAACTAAAATCAACAATATTAATATTATTGATTTTAGTCATAATTATGACGATAATAACAACTGTAATTATCCTTTTACATCCAATAGAATTTGAATAAATAAACATTCATTCATATGGGTAATGTGTATTTTGATTTTGAAATTATGTATCTGTAATTAATTCAGTTGAATTCAATTTTGTATATTAACAACTATCTGTTTAACATATAAAATAACAATTATTCAAGACGATTTTTCTTATTGGTGTATTATATACGAGAGAAAATATTTGTCCATTATTTTTATTGTTGTTTTTTTTTAGTTAAAAATATACACAAAATTAAAAATTAAAAAATATGGACGTTCATTAATTATTTATTTTTATCATGACCGCAGTCATGGATCAGTTATTTCTTTTTGAAAATAAATAACATATTACCTTGAATTATGTTTTAATAAAACACATATTGTTTTTTATACAGCAACAAACAGCGTATAGTTAATTTTATAAAAACCACACATATAAATAGTTTTATTGTGATAAAATAATAATTATAGTAAACAGCCTTGGTTCAAAGGAATATTTTAACTATATTAATATTATGCTATTTATTAGTACCTATAATCGTAACTCACATAGTTTACTAACTTATAGCTAAGAAAGACAACGCTAATGAGAATTAAACTAGTTAAAAACTCGAGTTCAGGTATGTTTGGTATGAAATACATGATTCCAGATTGAAGAATATCTATTAATAAAAGAAAAGTTTTGCTGTTAATGAAACAACTTTGGTTCAAAAAACAAAACATCGTCCGTCTATTTGAATTGACAAAGTTACTCACTGACATAGTGTTTTCACTAATTCAGAAGTTTAATCATATTCCTACTACCTGTCTTAAAATTGTATAATCATTAAGGAAAATAATATTCTCTCGGAATATTCTATTTGCAATGGATTCTTGCTGTTATTCTCACAAAGACATTTCAATTATTCTAAAAGCTATGACTTATTTACAGAATATACATGAAATGTATTTGAATTGAAAATAATTTCCTTTGCTCATTAATTATTCAATAGCAATTTCATCGTTGTTGAATTTTGATCGTTAGTTATTATTTTTTAAAAGAGGAAAATATCTTCCAGAATAAAATATGGATTTAATGTTATTTTCAGATTGAAAGTGTTGGTTTTATGAACATTTCCGTTGAGCTATTTATCATGATTTATATATAATATTTAAGTGACATAATTTAAATAAATTTTTTTTCATCCTATTAAGTTAATAAATATTTGAAAATGTGTAACAATACATCAGTGATTAAAACGTCAAATTCATCACATAGAATCATTTGAATAACATTTAAATAATTAATAATTTACTGTACTGTTAATTCCCTTGACATAATAAAAAACTGTTACGATTGTTTTATGTAAAATAAGTTACGCCGATAGTTTAGTTTGGTTAGACATCTTTTTATTTAAAATTTTCTAGTTACTTTTTAGCTAAATAAAATTATACTCGATAATCTGTAAAAATTATACTGTTGTATGAGGATCTAAATTATGAATTTAGGTGAAATAAACTTGAAAATAAATAAAAACATAACTAATGTGATACGGCAAAACACATAGTTTTTGGGAAGTGACACAAATATATTTATTAATTACCAATTATAGTATAACCTAATTATAAATTATTCAATTGAACGTGAAAATAAATTATAAACCACAATGTACTATTTGCTTTACAAAAATTTGTATAGTGTATTTCATCAAAAATTTGTAGTAGTTTTATAGGGTCAAGCAAGGCAAAAGTAAATAAATAGGGTAATCATAAATTAATTATTTCTTTTAGAATATTCACTAGATAATACTTTAAATAAGACAATTCCAATCCTCAAGTATATAGTTATTTTTATAAGTATAAATAAAAATTTAACAATTATGTATCTCCTTTTAAATTATTTTACATTTTTACTTTTTATTTACATTTGCTTTCTTTGATCATAATATATTTTAATTGTTTTGACTTGAATTGCATTAAATTCAAAAACAGTAGACTCTAAGATACTAAAAATCACTAAATTTAAACGTTGTTAATCATACAATTATTGAAGGTATTTGACAAGTGTGAATTCCACTTTGATCATATGCATTCTTCAATAAAAATATATTGTTACATTTGAAGGTTAATTCATTATTACACTGTTTCAAATGTAACACAAAATTATTACTTAAACCTATAGACATTTTTATTTATTTAACCTTTAGTAATTATAATAAAATTATATCATATTGAAAAAATAAAAATCTTAACTTTTATTAACTATAAAACTTGAAAAACAAACGTCATTATTAATGTAAGCCACAAGTGTGTAATAACCTATAATATTTAAATTGACTTGACTTATATGTTTTCTAGAATCTTATAAATATTGTATTAAAATGAATACAAAATATGTAAGCTCGGAAAATTATTTCAAAGACTTTTATTTTTTGTTTTCATAAAAGTTCACTTGGCATAATCATCTTTGAATGATTGCTAATCGACAATTATCAACTAAGTTCATAAATTTAATATTAAATAAATTTCAAAACTTCTGATTTTCTGATAGTTAAATATTTGTTTACCTTATATTATATACTGAAAAAAAAGTTTTTCTCGTTAGAGGATCAATGTATAAGTTGAATAATTCAAAAAATACTAATTATAAATATCTTTTATAACAAAAGTTTTTAATAAGAGAAAGGATTAAATAAAAATTAAAGAGTAAAGCGAATTGCGTAGTAATATAATCCTAATGAAATAACCCAGTAAATCAAAATGTATAGATTTTATTTACTACTAAATATCTAATAATGAATGTTAGTAATATTATAAACTAAGTGAAAATTTTTTTTTTTAATATTATTTGTTGTAAACATATGTATAATGTTTATTTCTGAAAATAACAAATTAAA